CCACGGCGTGGCACACCTCCAGCAAGGTTGGTTGATATTGGACGATGCAGTATGAGTGGTTCCCGAGGCAAAAGCTGGGGAATCTGACCATCTTAAGACGCGCCCGTAATAATTGTGAGCAAGATCGCGCCGGCCGACAAGGACGGGAGCTGCGTTTCCCAGGGTCCCCCCTCCTTCCGACCCTGCTTGCCTCCCCGGCGGTCGCCATTGCCCGCCGTGTCCCTCTGATCTGTCATGGGAAAATGCGGCTAGACCATGGCGGTTGGTGCTTTCCATGTCGCCATACCCACTCGGACCAGCCTGTCTGCCCGCCTGCAATTGCGTTACTTGGCTGCCTACCACCTCGCCAAGCCATCCCGTCCACGGGTTGTCCTGTCATCCTCCTCGGCCTGCCTTAGTCGCCATTGTGAGAACCTGCCTACCTACCTCACAGAGTACGGATACAAGCGCGTCACTTACAGGGCGCACGCACGCTCTCCGCAACTGATCTGCCATGCAATCAATCTTGGAATCGACTGACTCACCAGCCAATGACATAACAGGGAAAGGCCGCTGAAATGCTGCATTAAGCATGTCTCTCACCATCTCCCCCAACCTCACGTTCAGCTCTTCGCTTTCCCGTCCATACCAGCCATGCACCATCACCCATCACCAGAAAAAAAAAACATCCACCGCCCAAACACACCCCAGAGATAACACGAACACGGCCATCGTCCGGCTCCGCCGCGCAAACCGACCGGGACCCCGGATTCAAGCACCGCCCAACGGCCCGACCAGCCCATCGCTTTTTCCTCCTTTCACCTGGCCACCACCAAAAAAAAAAGTACACTATCCGATGCGATGCCTGCTTGCCCATCGCCCCTCCCTCCTAACCCCGTCCCCCGGTCCCCCCGCCGCGCACCCGATGCTTGTCGTTGCCCACATCTGGATGGCCGACCCTCCCACCAACACGCACTAGCGAAGCCGAACGACACCCAGGAGGGGCGAACACCACTGTCGCAACCCGCAAATCGGCGTCCTACGCCGTGCCGTCCCCAATCACTCCCTCAGCTTGGTGGTGCAGTTTGCAGTGGAGGGCCTGCATGCCTCTCCGTCCCCCGTCAAGGGTCCCCCCTATGCCTATCTATCCCGTCTTCCCCGTTCCCCGTATCGTGAACAGGCAATATCCCACCACCAACCATTGTGACGTGTGTTACGTACAAGGAAGACGGACGACAATTCATCGTGGCCGCTATTATCTCCCTCTTCCTCTCTCGTTCTGTGACTCAATGAGCAATTTTCGGCGTGACCTGAGCATTCTGGGCTGGCTAGTTCGCCTGCTTCTGTGCCAACTTTGTCAAAACTTGAGCAGTGGGCAGCATATCGTGCACGACATCACGGTCATCATGGCAACTCGCTGCGCTCGAGAGTAGCCTCTGAACCCTCCAACCACCAAACCTCAGTTCACGGCCTGACAATGAAAGAACTTCCTTTAGAAAGGGTAAAACAACGCCGTGTCATTGCAATATCGATCCGTCTATTCGTGGGATCCCATCTGTCTGATGCTGTTCCGCATGCCACTCGCAGATGTAGAATTACTATACAGTGTATCGTGTCCCAGCCCCGAGCCTGAACCAACGATCCCAAGACCCCAAATCAGTCATAACGCTCTATTTGTCCGCCTCCCAGTCGGGGTTCTATCATTCGTTAGCATCAATCTCCGAAGACATCCACGGAAATAAAATTAGCTCACCTTCTTCAGAATGACCAGTCCCTCTAGTGTGCTGTTCAAGCTGATGTACTGCTCGTCCTCAAGCTCGGCACGCTCTCCGTACGCCAGGACGACCGGCGTGCTCTGTGTTTGCCAGCCCGTGATCGTCTTGGGGCGGCCGGCCTGGCCGACAACGTCCACCGCCTGACCAACGCGGACGTTGACCTTGAGGGGCTTGAGGTCCTCGTCCAGCGTCACCAGAAAACGGGGGTGCATCGCTGTGACCAGGAAGTAAAGCAGGTAGTGTGAGTTTGATGTGATGAACTGCTTCGCGTCGATCATGGCAACCAGCACTGAGAGCAGACCGGACGCGGCAACACGGGAGAGGACGTTGCGGTCCGTGTGGAAGGGGTTGACAGACATGGTTCCCTTGCCCATGTGCAGAAGACCCTGCGCGATGCGCACCATGAAGAGAGACTCCTGGTCACGGTGGTAGAAGCTGGCCAGCTGGCGGAGTAGCTGAGCCAATCTGGCGTTGTTGGTACCAGCACCCAACAGACCCATGGCGAAGATGGCGTTGATGGCAACATCGTTGTCGTTGTCGTGACTGTATCTTGAGAGCGTGTCGTAGACCTTCATCTGGGGGTTGCTGGGGCTAATGAGACCCATGGCCAGGGGAACTGCCCTCCTGATATTGGGCTCGCCGTAGTGCATGAGGTGACCGAACTGACGCAAAACCATCTCCTGGCCGACATCCTCGCCCATCGCAACGAGGGCAATACCGAGGACGGCATACGACTGGAGGAGCTCGTCGCCCTTCTTCTCGTCAGAGTCCTCAATGTGCTCGTTGCAGATGTGCAGGAGCTCCTGAATCTTCAGGACGGCACCAGTGCCCGCCCAGGCGCAAATCTCCGCCAGAACGGCTGTGGGCTTAGCCATGGGGTGATCAACAGCCTTAAGTGTCTCAAGAATGACATCCACCTCCTCTTGGCGGCCGAAGAAGAGCAGACCGAGACCAAGGGCAAGGAATCGGGTCCACTTGTCGGTGAGCTGATTCTTGCGCTCGTCGTCCAGCAGCGTGGTGACGATCGCCTCGCTAACTTCGGGGTTAGAAGAGCCCGTGAAGATGAGACCGCAGGACAACGCAGCCATGGCGGAGATCTGCATCTCTTGGGAAGAGTCGGTGATGATGGGCAGCAAGAGCTCCAGCAGCATCTCGTTGTTGGAACCAGCGTAGGAGAGACCCAAGCCCATGATGGAGGCCGTCCGGACGAGGGGGTTCTTGTGGTGTAGCTTGTCCTCGTCACCCAACAGAGCCAATGCGGGCTCAGAGTCAACGCGGGCTCCGGAGTTCATGATACCAATAGCAAGCATGGAACCAGCCAGGATCTCGGGCTCTGCAGCGTACGTGTACTTGTCGATCTTGTCCAACCCGGCCTCGACATCCCACAGGAGCAAAGTACCCAAGGAAGCCACTGTCGACATCATGCCGTCGCCCTTCGTCTTCCACACCCAACTTTCCTTGTCCTGCTCCACCAGCATCATCTTGTCGTTGCCAAAGCCGGCATTAACAAAGGCGTTCACAAAGGCAGCGGCCAAGTTGTGCCTGGCGGAATCCAGGTTGGTCATTCCAGCAACACGGCTGCTCTCGAGATGGCTCTTGTAGATGTCCTCGGTCGTCTTGGGGTCAAGGATGTTGAGCTCCTTACCCAGAGACTTGAAGTGGTCAGAGAGCTTGAGGTTGGATAAGCACTCGACGATCGCATTGTCGCCCTCATCGGTGGGCAAGTCCAGCACGATCCGTTGGCGCGCAATCAAGAATGCGAGCTGCTTCTTGAGGGCGGGGTCACCGGCCTTCTCGAAATCATCCTTGATCAGGTCGATGTCGTTCAGACGGATAGCCAGGGTCATTGCCAGAGTGTACTCCTTGTACTTGAGGTAGATGTCGTGGGCGGTCCTGAGGAAGAGCTCGTTGTCGGGGTAGGTGAGGAGGTTGACCATGCTGACCATGTACAGGCACACGCGTCCGTAGGTGTCCTTGTCGAGGTAGTTGGGGATCTGGTCCATGATCTCGAGTTCGCTCATCAGGTCTACGGCATCGGCCTCGGCGTTGCTCTGGAGGAACAGAGGAATGAGGATTAGGGCGAGATCGACCAGGTCCTTCGTGGGCTCGTCGGCGTTTATCCTCTTTCCGTAGACCTCACCAATCTCGAGGGCCAGATGCCTGGTGTATTCATGACCCCAGGAGCCAATATCGGATGACGGTGCCAGCAGGCGGTACTTGAGGGTATCTTGTCGGTCTTCGTCTGAATACGTCATGCCAATCACTGACAGGACATCCGCGAGTGAGACCTTGTTGTCGCCCTCTGGCCAGTCCTCGTATAGTTTTGTCATCGTCTCGTAGTGTGGTCTGAGGAACTTGAGGGGCTTCGGCACGGCCGTCATTGACGAGGTCGACGTCTTGATGAAGTTCTTCATGGCTTCCAAGGCCGGCTTGTAGAGGGAGGAGTCGGATTCCTGGGTTCAATTGTCAGCATAAAATTCGATAAAACCCTCCTTGGCGAGACTGCACGCACCGTCAGACGCTCGACGAGCATGTCCAGCTCGTTCTTGAGCTGTTGGTCCTCCTCGCTGAGCTCCTCCGCGGCTGCAAACGGTTAGCCACCAGCACGTCCCAGCTCGGCCTGAGTAGCTCTCACAATCAATGATTTTCTCATCCTCCTTCTTGCCGTTGACCTGGGTCTTGTCCTTCTTGCCGTCCTCCACGGCCTTGCCCTTGCCCTTGTCGGCGGCGGTGGGCTTCTCGCTGTCCTGCGCCATCTTGACGTAGTGTTGTGGACTCTGGGCGGGCGGGATGCGTCCTCGGGATTTTTGTCAAGAATGGGCGCGGAGACGGAAGTATTGATAGGAAATAATACACCGGTCGATGATTGCTGTCGGGAGAAGTTGAGGTCGTGAGTGGTTGAAATCGAGAGGGATGGAAGGTGGGAGAGCTTTGTTGTAAAGCTAAGCAACATCGAAGCTCCCGTCCCTGGTTACGCGAGCAGCCTTGCAGCCTGCTTGCTGTGCACAGACCTTTGAGGCACGTGACCCGGACTTGTCATCAATCGTCCTGCCGGTTCCGTCGCAAGTATCCCGGGGCCGGGTCTTATCGATAAGCCATCCCACCTTGATGGTGGGCAAAATATCGAACTTTTCGTTTGACTTGGGCCGCGAAACGAGGTGTGATATCTCGGTTCCCCGTGCAAGCGTCGATTTACAGCATAGAAACCCCGTCAAACCCAACTAGGGCAATTGCAAACTCTGAAAGATGCATTTGGACACCAAGGCGCTGCGCCATCTGGCGTCTGAGGACTGGAAAGTCCTCGCAGCTGTACGGATTCTACCCCTCCATGACCTCTCGCAGCCCACTTACAGATGCCCCAGGTTGAGCAAGGCAGCAAAAACCACGAGCTGGTTCCGACCGTATTGATCGAGAAGCTGTCGCGACTCCGTGGTGGCGCAAATGGCGTGCACAAGTCCATCTCCAACCTCGCCAAGGTCGGCCTCATTGCCCGCGTCAAGGAGGCCAAGTATGACGGTTACCGATTGTCCTATGGAGGTCTCGACTACCTTGCCATGCACACCTACTCGACGCGAAAGGAGGTCTACAGCGTGGGAAGCAGAGTCGGTGTTGGAAAGGAGAGTGACATCATGATGGTTGCCGACGACAAGGGCAAGCAGCTCATCCTCAAGATCCACAGATTGGGTCGCATTTCTTTCCGTACCGTCAAGTCCAACCGAGACTATCTCAAGAAGAACCAGTCGGGATCATGGATGTACCTCTCGCGCTTAGCTGCCATGAAGGAGTTTGCGTTCATGAAGGCGCTCAAGGCAGAAGGCTTCCCCGTACCCGACCCCATTGCCCAGAACCGACACACCATCGTCATGTCCTTCATCGACTCCTTCCCCCTTCGCCAGATATCTGCAGTTCCGGACCCGGCTCCATTGTACGCCGAGCTGATCGATCTGATCCTGCGTTTGGCCAAACATGGACTGATCCACGGTGATTTCAATGAATTCAACATCCTGATCAAGGAAGAGACGACCACCACGAAGACAGAGGAAGGCGAGGAGGAATCCATCAAGCTAGTTCCCATTGTCATCGACTTCCCACAAATGGTTTCAATGGAGCACACTAACGCTGAAATGTACTTTGACCGAGATGTCAACTGCATCAAGCGATTCTTCCAAAAGAGATTCCACTTCACACCCACCACCCCGGGGCCCTTTTACAAGGATGCAAAGAAAACGGTTGGAAAGGATGGTGCGACCCGCCTCGACGCAACCGTCGAGGCATCTGGCTTCACCAAGAAGATGGCCAAGGATCTGGAGAAGGCCATTCAAGAGCAGGCCTCATCCAAAGACAATGACCTGGACGGCGAGGCTGGAGAGGAGTACGATGATGATGAGGAGGAAGATGATGATGAGGAGGACGTCGACGACGACGAGGCGGAGGACGAAGAGCCTGTTGTCGGTGGCCATGAAGACAAGGCTGGCGAGGGACAGGAACAAATAGATACCCAAAAGTTTTCGAAGTTGACGGTAACGTAGACATCACACATCACTTTAAAACAAACGCGATTGAAATTCGTCCATCCCTCTTCGTGTCGCCGTCAAGCATCACATGGTTGAAATTCGATTCGGTGTTGGATGGCACGTCACAACAAAACATTGGACAAATAAGCACGGCAAAGGACAAAGCTCCGTCCCAATTGAATTGCCCCCCAAAAAAGCTAAAGTACAAGAAGAATTAGAGCTGGCCCAACCGGGCTGAATGCGGCAAGAGTATCAGCTACCTCAGAGCATAACATGTTCCCTGATCAAAAACCGATACTGCCATTTGTTGCGGCGCCCAGAATACCCGAAGACTGTGCGGCAAAACGTGAATGATGTACCCCGAAAATGCAAATGCTCCTGACAATTCTCTCACTTCTGCTCCTTTTGCTCCTTTCTCTCCTTCTTCACAACGGGCGAAGACTGGGTGCTGACAATGACCGGTGTGGTCGCGTCAGCATGGATTGTCACGCCCTCGTCGCTATCGTCGGCATTGCTGGCCTCGACGGAGACCTCAACGGCCGATCTGCAGAAGCAAGTTAGTCAAGAAGAACGCTCCAATGGCGAGGGTGGTCACAGTACTGGGGTTTTCCCTGAACAGTGTTGCCCGCCTGGTAGCCCTCAGACTTGACGCCCTTGCCCATGCGATCCAAACCGCCAGTCAAAGAGCGAGGCGCATATGCGCTGTGCAAGGTCAGTGTTTGCCTTCTGAGACAGACCGAAGGAACACTCACGTGTGGGCGGTTGCATGCAAGGCACGCTTCCAAGCTGGCTGGTTGTACATGTTGGGCTGGATGCCAACAAGAGGAGTGCCGTAGGCACCAATGTTGTACTCGTTGGTTCGGAACTGGCGACGTTCGGCAGTGACACGCTTCAACTCCTTCTGACCAGGAGTATCGGCATAGCGGATGTTCATGACCATTCCCTCTTCGCCGATGGGGATGCCGTTGAACTGCTTGATGACAGCGTCGCAGACGTCTCTAGACTCGAAGCTGGTGATGTTGTCAGTGCCAGATCCCAAAGCATCAGAGACGAGAGCAAGCTTACCGAGCGAAGCCAACGCCACGGCTGTTGCCCATGCTGTCACGAAGGATTTTGGAGGACATGATATGGTAGCCCCTGAAAATGTCGCCGAGGTCCTGGGAAAGTCAGCCAAGTCAATCTTGTCTGTGTGAATGATGGCACTCACGTTCTCGGTAAGACTCTTGGGGAGGTTCGAGATGTACAAGTTGGTAGATCCCTCGTCGCCCTCCGCCTTGAGACGAGAGTTGAAAGACTCCTAGAAGAAATGTCAGACGATTCCCTTGCATGGAGGAGTGACGAATGACTTACACGAGCGAAGCCGACCTCGTATCCCAGACGATGGAAGCCCCGAATGCACATCTCCGAGTCGCGAACGTCAAAGAACTTGGCGAAGCCAAAGCCCTTGCAAGCACCAGTGGCGGTATCGATGATGGCCTTGGAAGTCTCGACCTCACCGAAACGAGATGCGAAGCGGTACAGGAGCTCGTCATCAGTGGTGGGGTGAAGACCACGAATGTAGACATTGCGGTTGCCGGGGATGCGGTTCTCCAGGCTCTGGTCCAGAGTCTTCATCTGAGCAGCAGGAGTGAAGACGGCGGGGACAGCCTTGGGGATAGGAGGCTCTTGCTTGAGCATCTCCTCCAGGTTGCGGTCAACCGGAATGCTGATGACGCCGTGCTTGGCAGCAGGTTCAACGAACATGTTGGGACCAACGATCTGTTGGGGAGATGGAGTGGTGTAAGTAGAACGATCGAGAGCAGCGACGCGAGGGCCCTTGTCATTCTTGGCACCGTTGTAGAATGGAGTCGTGGGAGCTGACTCTGTGGTGCTGTAAGAACCACCGCTGTGACGGCGGTTCTCAAGACCAGGAACGTCGTTGTGGTTGCGGTTCGTACGATCCTGGAGGACCGCGTTGCCGCTGACTGCACGACCAGGGGTGAACGGCATCATGCCATAGGGGACGTAAGGATTGAACTGTCCAGGGGCAGCCAGATAGCCGCCGGCGGCGGGGCCATAGGGACCTTGAGAGAGCTGGTCCATGCCCATAGCGGCACCGGGCAGATGGGGAGCGAGGATGTAATCCTGAGGAACCATGTACGTATGGGCGCTCATCTGGCCCATGCCGGTGCCATTGTGACCCATGCTATGGCCCAGAGACATTCCCTGGAACGAGCTCATGGCACCGGTCAAGGAGTCGACGTTGGACACCATGCCGGGAAGCTGGTTCTCAGGATACTGAGGGACGTGGTTGCCGGCTCCGGCGAAGGCAACGGAGTGCTTGGAGTCCATGGCGTGAGTCTGATAAGACATAGTCATGTCCGAGGTCTGGAAAGGCTGCTGTCAGTGACTATATGATTGCGAGGAGACGACGCCCGTGAATGGTGGTGTGACAGGGAGGTGTTCCGAGAGCAACTTACTTCGAACGATGCCAGATGCTTCCAAGAAGCGGGGAGAGTGGTTAATTGGGGGAACCTGGAGGGGGAACTCAGTCAATATTAACGATGCATTGACCAGCGGAAGTCAACGAAGGTGAGGACCAGTGTGGCTCCAATCTGAGGCATGATGACAGGAAATGGACGCCCGTTTTCCTGGACCTGGCATTGGAGGAACTTGACGCAGACATGGATGCAGATGAGGTCCAGGACACGGGGAAAAGCCCTTGAAGTGTAAAGGGGCCAACGTCGGATGTCATCGCCACTCACCTTTGTTGTCTGGAGATGAATCAAGGCCTTGGAACCAGGACGAGCTCGATCGACGCCGACAATGGCAAATGTTGTTACCAAAGACTCTGTGGAGAAGCGAGTGATCAGTAAAAAAGATGGAACAAGCTATCGGGAGCAACTGAGTCAAAGAGACTGTGGGAGAATGGTTGGAACAAGAGTGGTGGTGATGCTGTGGTCGGGAGAAGAGATGGAGGAGGGGGGATGACGGGAGACGAGGAGATAATAAAGGGGCGACGGATGCTGGACTCCATACCTAAGGATACTTGCTTCCTTTCCAGTCAATGCCCCTTTGAAGAGGAGGAAGCTGCCAGAATGGTCTTTCTGGAAGGCAATCTAACGTATTTTGATGCTTGGTTGGGAAGGAGATGATGTTGTTGGGAGGAAGACACAGAAGGGGGTGACGATGTCAGCGGAGACACCGGAAGGTGATTCTTTCCCAGATGGCCGGGGCGGGAGCTCCTTGCGGGGCCTGACTTCCTTCACAGATGCTGTTCCTGCCTGTCACCTTCCCATCAGCAATGTCCCCGCGGGTCTGATGCTTTCCCAAGTTGGCGGGACCCCCTGAGGAGCATGGACTTACCTGCCTTGAAGTATGTCACCGGCTGCCCTCCTTTCCTCGGGGAAATGTGCTGAGATCCTTCTTGACTTCCCACTTTTACACAAGCAAGCGATAGTGATAAGGATGGCTCGATAGGGCCAGACTAGCTGATTCCTTCTCGACGAGATGTTTACTGACGATATCGAGGGCAACAGAAAGAAATGAGCGACTCCGGAAATCTCGACTTGTCTCCTTGGTGGTTACAGCCAGCAGGGTCTGGAGTGCGACTGCCACGTTCTTGAATGATGTCTCGGTGCCGACGCTCCTCCTGGTGCGCAACCAGAGAGTTAGGAGAGAATGAATGGGTGCTGCTCCGGTTGGCTTACTGTCGTCCTGAGGAGAAACACGGCGAGTTCTTCGATGAGACCAAAATCCTCGTAGCAGTGAAGGTAGTTGGACTCTCTCCCCGGTATCTTGTCAATTGATGACAGAAGATGTCGACCAGTTTCTAATAATGTTGATGTCTGCAGACGCCGTCAGTTTCTTCCCGGAATCATAAGTCAGAGACCACCAACCTTGGCCTATGATCTCGGCCGAGCTTCTTCTTTAAGTCGTCCGAATGCCACGGTGATGCTGTTGGCGACACGCGTGTCCGCAACTGGTGGTCTGCGTCGGTCCGATCTCCAAGAAATGTCCCCAAAGACGAGGCTGCAAGTACCCAAACCGACAAGGAAATCCCGATATCAAAAAGCAACCGCCATGCACCGTCCGTTTGTCCTAAGAATACCAATAGCCGCTCAACCACGAACGATTTGTCAAGCAAGCGAAGAAAAGTTTATCTGGGTACCATCTTCCGAACAAATAGGGGACACCTGGGAGGGCAGGAGGGATATCTGCCCTTCTATATGGGATGCTACGCATCCAAGTCACGCTGCTTTGCGGACCAGAGCCCTTGCCCTGCAGCCAAGCGTGGTTGTCATAGAGTGATGGTCCACCCGCCTCGTTGCTTTTCTGATCACTGGCTCTGAGACAGGGTTAGCGTCAAGAAGCAGAGAGAGAGGTGGCTGTCGGATCACAGAGATTCAGGAAATTCGGGCTGCCTGTGGTGTCTCTCCTGCAAAGGGCCAGCCTGAAGTCTGCGACCTGCAGTTGATCCCCATAGACATCAGTGTTCAGATGCAAGCCAATGGCTGACAGAGATCACTGGGCACGCTGCATCTACATTCGCAGGCAAAGCACCTCTCTACCCACCACGCCCACACGCCTGCTGGAAGACGACTGGCCACCTGACATCTGGCAGTCTCGAACACCAGGATCAAGGGTGCACATCATTGCATCGAGGCAGCCGAAGCCGAACCGACTTGCCAAACGAGACGTTGAGTGCCAGGTAGAGGCAATCTGCAGTCCGGAAGATGGGTGGAAGGTGGTTCGTCCAGATTGGCCGAATCCGCGCTTTCTTATTTTTTGTTGAGAACCTTTCACTCGGAGACGAAACAGGCCCTAGCCACCTTTGGAATAGGAGGCATGCGGCTTGCACTTCACGATAGTCTGGGGCTGGCGTGATCTGGCGCACTGGTTTTGAAGGAAGGCCAGAGCCGGCGGACGTGGCGAAGCGGGTACCTGAGACCTTTCTCGAGGCACATGGCTAGACGAATCCTGCAAGATGGCCTTCTCCGGTCATGCTGCGTCTCAAGAGGACAACGGGTTTGCAATAATCCCCGGTCTTTGAGTGGGTAGTGACATTGAGCAGATCATAGTGGTTGTGCGTCAGAACCTCGACGCGGTTCCAGAATAACTCTGCGGAGCACAACCCAGTCGAGCCACGAGTCTTGCCATATGGCTATTCCAATTTCGAATCCAAACCAACCGAACCGAAGAGAGCAGACGAGCCCTCCATCCCAGCGAATTCCCTGTGTTTGGCTGAGACCTGAAGACTAAACATGCGTCTTCCCTGCTTAAGCCGGCGCCAGGAAAAAGAAACGACGTGGGGTGGGATGGAGGAAGCCGTGCCGCTCATTTTTTCACGCACTCCATGAGACGAACCCAGCTATAGGATTCTCATTGAACCCTGCTCGGTTTTCTTTTGTCGGCTGCTCGTCGTCTACCTGATGCTATGCAAGCTTTTCGTGAAGTCACAAGAAAGTTTTTGAGGCTGAATTCCGACGAGAACGACGTTAAAGCACGATCTACACACTTCCCGCTGCCCCAGGGCACCTTTCCCCATCCCGCTAACCTGCGGTCCAGGCCAATTTAGGCACAAGACTGAGAGAAGTCTGTCAACTATCTACTCTGGCTCAGGCGACAGTGTGGACTGACTATCGAAAGACCTGTCACCTTCAGCGGCGTCGTGGCCGGATAGTTGGGCAGCCACCCTTCTGCAAAGAGACAGACAAGATGACAGGTGGGTAGCCCTGAACTTGTCCAAAGTGGCGGTAAGGAATATCCGGGCTGTCAGAGGCAAAGATTGCAGATTGGCTGGGGCGGAGATCGATCTCGCAGCGGCAATCAGTGGTCAAGGCAATCGTCGGCCTGTGTGATGCAGTTTACTGCAGGTTGTCGTTTTGGTGTTGGTGCATTATGTCAGGCATTCGTACCCCTTGACTCTCTGCCAAATAAGTCGTCCAGACATATCACAACAGCTGCCAGAGAAGATGACAGTACCGCTGCCTCTATCTCAAGGGGCCAAGACGTGTGGGCTCATTGGACAATGATGATGCCCATTTTGGCAGGACTGGTCGGCCGCATGAGGGGGGTGATGGAACAATATGCTGCCTCGGCCGTCTTGCAGCGACGCCCGAGTCGCCACGTCTTGGGCATTTCCTCGAAGCTCCACCGCCAAGATAGGAGCCGGCAGTCCCGGGCCTCTACCATTGCCAGAGACACCAGAACAGTATCGCACGGAATTGCTGCGAGATAGTGGGCGGCATCTCGTACGGGACGGCAGGGAAGCCCGTCTCCGACCACAACCAGGCCTAGTTGGGGTAATGCTCCTTCGGCTTTCCTTCTTGCCCCCCCAGTGTCTTGATTGTTGTTGCCCCGGGGCCCCTGGCGACGCATCTGATCGGATCGAGGTGCGATCTCACATTGTCGGCAGCCTGCTATGCTGGGGGCCTTTCTTGATCCCTTCAGGCCCGGTTGGGCAGGCTTCATGAAGGGGGCCGCCTCGCTTATGTGCGATGTTTACATCGGGGAGGGAGGGGAGGAGGCAGACTCGAGGTTGTTTGCTTCCCAGCAAGACCGGGATTGAGACCCGGCAATGGACAACCCCCCCGACACCCATCTCTTGGCATCGAGGCCCTGCTAAGGTTGCGGGGGCGATCGGATCCCCATCCCGTCCCGCGCCCGGGTCTGGCTTATTTCGTCCCAGTCACTCACTCTCCGGTCGTTCAACCCGCTCCTCACACCGGTTAACGACAGGAATCCCGTTGCGTCACCCGTATGTGTTGCACTGTGGAGCCTCCATCTCGACTGATATCTGACTAAACATCAAGAAACCAAGAGACGAGGAAATGTTTGCCAGAAAGCTCCTTCATCGGCCAGGCGGGGGAGATGACTCGCACTCCCGTCCCAATGGCGTAGTGAGACGTACTCTGATATAGCAAGAGAAGCATATTCTCATGGTTGGGAGCTATTTCATGGTTTTCCCAACCTGACCTGCTTACGAATCAAGGTCTGAACGTCGTACAAAAAGAAGAGCAGCTGCAAGCAACCACTGCCCCCACCCTTCACCAAACCAGCTTATCCGCTCGCGGATACCAAAATAGGAAAATGTTCTCTCTTTTCGTATTCTTGAGGGGAAGTAGTTCACACGTTACATGCAAAGTCGCCTCATCCCAGTGGAAATGTGTGTACTCACGAATGTCTATACTCTGAACGAAGTCATCTCTCGGTACAGGCTCCACAGCCCACGAGAAAAGAAAAAGGTGTACCTACGTGTGAAGATGAGCAACAGCAGCGGGGGGAGGCCAACGGGAAAGAGTTCAGGAAATAAAAAAGGTTATATGCCAAATTGAACCAATTAGCCGCAC